TTACATAGACTTTGTTTCCATTTTTTTTCCTTTTCTCATAATTTTTCCTTTCCCTTCTTCCCTTTCCCCTTCCCGTCCCGCTACCCGTACACCTTTGGACCTTTTTCTATTTCAAATTGTCAGTTATTCATTTTAATCCTTATTTACACTTTCAGTTTCTCACACTAGAGAAACTTCGGTATTTACACATGTGTGTCCTATTTATTTCACTTAAGAGTATGGCTTCAGTATGCATCCACTTAGCTACAAATATCTCCAGTTTCTCATTCTTTATGGCTGAGTAGTACTCCATTTTATTAAAAAACCACATCTTCTTTATCCAGTTTCCAGTTGATGAGCAGTTGGGCTGTTTCCAAGCTTTAGCTATTACAAACTGTCCAGCACCATTTATTAAAGAGTCTATCTTGGGCCGGGGATTTAGCTCAGTGGTTTCGCTGCCTGCTGGGCAAGCGCAAGGACCCGAGTTTGATCCTTGGTACCAAAAAAAAAGAGGCTATCTTTCCTCCAGTGAGGATGTTTGGTTCCTTTGTCAACGATGAGATGGCTGAGTGTGTCTGGAGTTGTTTCTGCATCTTCTAATCTGTTCCACTGGTCTTCAGGTCTGTTTTTTTGCCAGTGCTATCCTGTTTTTATCACAGTAGCTTTGTACTATAGTTTCAAGTTGGATGTTGTGATACCCCCTGCCATGTCTCTGTTGCTTAGGATTGCTGTTGCTATTCTGCATCTCTTCTTGTTCCAAATGAATTTTTGAATTGTTTTCTCAAGGTCCATGAAGTATGCTGCTGAATTTTCAATTGGGATTGCTTTGAATCTATATAGCAGTTTTGGAAGTATGGCCATTTTCACTATATTGATCCTTCCTACCCAGGAGCAGGGGATGTCTTTCCATTTTCTGATGTCATCTTCAATCTCTCTTTTCAGAGTGGTATAGTTTTCAGAGAAGAGGTCTTTGATTTCTTTCGTTAGGTTGATTCCTAGGTATTTCAGTTTTTTGGATGCTATTGTGAAAGGAATTGTTTGCCCTATTTCTGTCTCAGTGAGTCTGTTGTTTGTGTAGAGGAAAGCTATTGATTTTTGTGTGTTGACCTTGCATCCAGCTACTTTACTGAATTTGGTTATTAAGTCTAAAAGACTTTTGGTGGAGTTCTTGGGGTCTTCTATATAGAGTGTCATGTCATCTGTAAATAATGACAGTTTGACTTCTTTGTTTCCTATCTTTATTCCTTTCATTTCTTTCTCTTGTTTAATTGCTGTGACTAATGTTTCCAAGACTGTGTTGAACAGGAGTGGTGATAGTGGACATCCTTGTCTTGTTCCTGATTTTAGTGTGAAGGGTTTCAATTTTTGACCATTTAGTATCATATTGGCTGTTGGTTTTTCATAGATGGCTTTTATCAGATTGAGGTAGAGACTGTCTATTCCAATTTTTTGTAGGGTTTTTATCATAAATGCATGTTGGATTTTGTCAAATGCTTTTTCTGCATCTATTGAGATGATCATATTGTTTTTGTCCTTGGCTCTACTGGTATAGTGTATTACATTGATTGATTTCCATATTTTGAACCATCCCTGCATCCCTGGGATGAATCCCACTTGGTCAGCGTGTGTGATCTTCTTGATGATCTTCTGACTTTGGTCTTTTTCTTGTAAACCAGCGTATTTTCATGCCTTGTGTTGGTTTATATTTTAAATGCAACAGTAGAGTCAGCCTTTCTTCCTTCTCTTCCTGGCTTTAACTGTGTGGGTTTCTTCTGTGGTATTCTGCTCATGTGTGCATGAGTCTTTTCTCTGTACTCTTCTTGTCTCTGCAGCCCTGAGTACATGTCAACACATTACTGGCCCTGGGACTGCCAGGGTGTGGTCCAAAGCAGGTGAAGCGGGCAGGTGGGGACAGGTGTTTGGAAGGGTCCTGTGGACTAATTTCATTGTTCTGCAAACTGTTGGAGGGCAAACCAGATTTTACTTTTTCCACATTTTGATTTTCTGGATTGAGTTTTAGAAGGAAATCCTAACCAAAAAAAGAACTTCTGGTGGCTCACTATTTAGACAGCTAAAGATGTTAGGATTTGGGTTTTCTGCTTCTGTTTTCACACCACGTGTGATTGTGGATAACAGTACTGCAAAACAGTATCTGGGTGAGTTGAGAGAGATTCGCACACCTTTCTTCATAGTGTTGGCTTTTAAATTCTTGGTAGAGCTTCTCTGCAGGTTTATGCTTTACATTTTCCCACAAAGGCTTTATGTTGTGTGAAATACTTTCCATTGAAATTCTGTAACTCGAGATAGACTTGCAAGTACCTTGAGAAAGAATTCATGATAGAGGGTAGAAGCAGTGTTTTGTTTTTTGGCTTTTGGGTTTTTTTGGTACTGGGGATCGAACTCGGGACCTTGCACTTGCAAGACAGGCGGCAAAACCACTGTGTTAAATCCCAGGCCCCATAAAAGCAGTTTTATGAGCTAGAAATACTCAGAGAAAGGGACTGAAAGATTTATTTATGAGCTTGTCATGTAATTCTCCTTCACCACAGAGTACTCAGGAAATAATTTTAGGTTTGGCATTCCAATACCAATTCATTGAATCCAAGTGACGCCTTTTTATTGGGAGATTAATTTATTTCAGCTGCTTTTAGTGGGGGGAGGACATCTGTCCTTCAGTGGGGACGAGGGACACCTCATGTCCCCAGTTGTCTGAGGTTAGCTTCTGGTACCTCAGGTCTCCTCAGCGGCTGTGGCGTCTCAGTACCGTGGAGGCCCGCCTGCCCCTGAACATCTTACTGTTCCGTCACAGTTTCAGCTCAGGTTAGCTGACCTCGGCCGCTGGCTGGCTCTAAGAGTGCTGTTTACCATTTAGAACCATGAAAGTGGCTCTTCTTAGTTTTTCTTTTCTATTACATGTCTGTGTGGTGTTTACAAGCCTTGCGTGGGGTTGATACGTGTACAGAACACCCCTTAATTCTTTTCTCATCGCTGCCCTCTGCCCCTCCCACCGAGTCTTGATCCCCCCTCTCTCTCTGAGAAAGACCCATCTCCCGACTTCTTATTATCTGTCCCCCCTTTGGGGTGTATTATTTTCTGACACGTAGAAATTACACAATACAGATTGCAGTGTCCTTCAGCAGTTTTCATTTAATGCCACCTCATCCACGGAAGTATTATCTGTGCTTGTGTCCTGTGCACACAGCACACACCCCAGGCCGTGTGTGTGCTCAGTGGCTGGGCTTTCAGTGGTGTGAGAGAAGGCAGTGGCAGGCAGAAGGCGCCGGAGAATGAGTGTCTCAGGCCTGCGGCCGGCAGCCTCCCAGCCCGTCCCACGTGAGGTGCTGTCCCGCCTCAGTTTGCACAGAGCGGCAGGACCCGGGGAGGGGCGGGGAACGCGAGGTTCCTGGGAGCTGTGGCCTCGGGGAGAAACCCAGGGGTGCATGGTTAAGATGAGAAGGAAGAAAACCCACTCATCCCGGTGCTCCTCGGCCAGTTTAACTTTAAGGAAATGGACAGAAAGAGGTTACCCTGGCTTGGTGTGTGTGCTTCTGGAACGGAAATTAATTTAGGGGGAACAAAAAAGCATTAAACACAGTTTTCCCCTAAGAGAGAATCTCTTTATCCCATGCATTTAAAACTTTTAAACTGTTGCCATGAAATTGATTTACATGAAATTTTCTAGAAATACATCTTTTACTTAAATTGAAATGCTTGTACCTTTATTCATAATGATTCAGAAGTGAAGAAGCAGGGCCTAAAACCACTTAAAAAGCTCTCGTTCTCTTATAGACTGTAGACTCGCTTTCCCTGATCTGACATTAATTTTTGACTCAGGAGATCGGTTAGGAGTGAAATCTCCCTCTTGATGAAACAGGGTCTTTTTGTTCTTAATCCTTTCTGCATGGAAGCAATAATGTGTGCTTAATTTTAGGCTGTTCTATAGTTAAGGGTTTTAATTCTCTGAGCCTCAAATAGATATGTTGGAGAATTTGTCTTGTGTTTTGAACAAGGTAACTTACAGTTGTATTCAATCCACCCGTGTTAATTTTAGAATATTAGAGAACTAGGTACACTGTTATGCCTTCCAACCTAACCTGAACCTTTGCCCAAATCTGCTGAGGTTTTGATGGTTGGTGGCTGTAGAGCATGGCAGCCATACTGAGAGAGATGCCTCCGAGACACACTCACACGCTGCCACCGGGGAAGCAGGCTGGCGGATTTTACACTGACTGCAGATGTAGCGACAGATCCGTGTATTTCTGCAATAATGTATGTGGGCCTTGTGTCAAATATTTTTTCTTCATGTGAACTGTAAAAGATCTCATTTATACATAGAATGTTAAAGTAGTAGAATGCTGGGCGTGGCGGCACACGTCTGTGACCCCAGCACTTGGGAGACTGAGGCAGGAGGATTGCTGAGTTCGAAGCCAGCCTGGGCTACATAGTGAGTTCAGGGCCAGCCTGAACTACAAAGGGAGACCCTGCCTCAAAAAAAAAAACTTAAAAAGGTAGTAGAATGTGTCACTTTACTAAATGCTTATAAGGCACGGCTGCATCAGTCCTCATGTTCAGAGGTTAGCAGCATCTTCCTTTAAAGATATTAGTATAAAATTAAAACCAAGATTGGAAGGCAAATCGCCTGGCCATCCTGGACCACTTTATCATGATTAACGGCCTCTTTAGTTTTAACTCAGTGCCTCAGAGTAATACAGTCCCCGCCGGGAATTTCCTCGGTGAGCCAGTTCCTGGTACACAGTCCTCAGTCCTTCCTTGGGTGTCACCTGCTGCTGATCACCCAGGGATGAGCTGGCACATGGCAAGGGAATGGCCCAGCCCCGGGTGTTCTGTTGCCGTTTTATTTTCAGGTGACTGAGGAAGGGAAAGAAAAGTCATTGTCATGGTCTGCGGTGCCTCTTCCTATTTTGATGTTTGCTTTTTAAACTTTACCTTCCTTAAATAATAAGGTTGCTGGGGTTTGTTGCTATTGGACAACTATTTATTTTCTCTCTTTCTGTACACAGGTTGAAAGGATTGTTGACAAAAGGAAAAACAAAAAAGGGAAGACCGAGTACCTGGTGCGGTGGAAAGGCTATGACAGCGAGGATGACACGTGGGAGCCCGAGCAGCACCTGGTCAACTGTGAGGAGTACATCCACGACTTCAACCGGCGCCACAGCGAGCGGCAGAGGGAGAGCGCGCTCCCGAGGGCCAGCAGGGCCTCTCCCAGCAACGCCCGGAAGCAGATTTCCAGGTCCACCAGCAGCGGCTTCTCCAAGTCCGCCCCGGAGGCACCGGTGATGGGCAGGGACCCCGAGTCCAGGAGCAGTGCGCTGCTCGCAGCCAGCCAGAAGCTCAGGAGAAGCACGGCATCCGCCCTGCCCAGCCGGAAGAGCATGGACCTTGCAAAGTCGGGGATCAAGATCCTCGTGCCCAAGAGCCCCACTAAGAGCAGGACCGCTGTGGACGGCTTTCCGAGCGAGGGCCCTGGGAAGCTGGACTCCGTCGAGCAGGGTCCCGAGGACTCGGGGGCGCCAGAAGTGGCGGCAGAGAAGCCCGTGGGAGCTCTGTTGGGCCCTGGGGCGGAGCGGGCCAGGATGGGGAGCAGGCCCCCGATACACCCGCTGGTGCCTCAGGCGCCGGGCCCCGTGACTGCAGCCATGGCCACAGGCTTGGCCGTCAACGGAAAAGGTGAGTGTTCAGGCCGCTCCTAGGAGGTCTGCCTCATGCTCAGAGTCTGGGGGATTCGCACAGGGGTCTGCTGCACCCTGGGAGAGCGTGCCAGTTTCTTTCCTTGAAGCCTCAGGCGGCGTTTGGCTCCGTGTGCTGTCCACAGCTGGTCATCACGTTCACCTGCACCAGACAGCGTCCACTCCCAACAGGTGACAGTCTAGGGTTTGGCCGCAAGTCGGTTTCTGCCTCTCTTAGACAGCGTCTCGCATGAAGAGCCCACCTGCAGCTCTCAGTGTGGCCAGTGTAGATGCAGAACCCGTTCTCCTTGTCTGCACCTCCGTGTGAATAGCCAGGGAAATGTCTTTCCGAGAGGACATCACTTGCCTAGCGGAGCTTCTGGGCCCCAGTCTGCTGTGCCGCGCTTGCTCCGCCTTTCAGAGTGGGAGGCCACGCAGCACTGTGTCCCTCACTGCAGGGCCCCGCTTGCCGTTGTACTGCACCCACTGTCTGCAGACAGCACACCTCGGAGTCCTCTGCTGCTCGCCTATGCCACCTGGCTGGCCACCTGTGTGGACCGAATTCTGTTACCTGTTCCCTCATCCAAGCCTCACTGGTCCTGCCTCCCTTTAGGCCTTGGGGATGTCTGACCTGCCATAGCTCTCTTGGTAGGGTATGTGTGTGAGTGTCTGTGTGTAGCTGGAGATCGAACTCGAGGCCTTAAACATGCTCAGCAGGTCTTCCACCACTAGCTACACCCCTGCCCCTGCCTGTCCAGTAGCTCTCTCTCTGCTTCTGCCTTTTCACAGCTCCGAACCATTTTGCCAACATCTCCTGAGCCCCACGCCACTACCTCAGGGACCAGGTGTGCCAGCCCTCACCTGTTCTCCACATTGGCACCAGGGCAGCTGCTGCCTCATGAGCTGTGCTTCACCATCTGGTTCAGTGGCCCCTCATCCTGGGCCCCTTTTTCCTCCTTGCCGTGGTGTTTGTTGGGGTCTAACGTCTTGACCCCAGCTCAGTGGAATAATACAAGACAGTGAGCTGGTGTGTTGAGGGAGCTGCTGTCCTGTACAGTGAAATGTTCACCCAGGGCATCGTTTGGACAGCCTGGCTATATGGCGACATCAGGTGTTTACCTTGGGCTAGGTCCTTGCACAGCAGCGGAGCTGGGCATAAACTGAACTCTACAGTTTCCCTTTGGACCAGAAACACCTGTGCTGCTGGAGATTTTCACATACAGACTTGACCCAAATCCTGCTACTCTTCCTGCTTCAGCTTGTCCTCATCTGAGACCTATAGACTTGTTCCCAAGTGTGCTTCCCTTGTCCACCTGCTTTTGGAGGTAGTGCTAGTAGATTGAGTTCTCCTTTTTTTAAAACATGTTACTGTGGCTTGAACCCAAGGCCTAATGAATGCTAGGCAGGTGCTGTACCATGGTGCTACTTCCCCAGCCATATAGTTCTCTCCTACTTTGTCGTGCAGGAATGGTCACAGAAAGTTCAGGGGTGGAGGAGACTTTGTAAGTCACCTAATGGCACATCTGGGCCTGCTGCCTCTGCTACACAAGGGACATCTGCGTCTTTGTTGATGACACAGGGCCAGGCACTGTGCTCGGCCCTGGGTACTAACTGACATCTCCTGGGCCAACCCAAACCTCTGCCTGGTTTTGTATGGCCTGCAAGCAAAGAGTGGTTCTCACATTTTCTAATGACAAGAGAAGATCATGAGGAATGTATACTAACCCATGGAAATACAAGCCATTGCAGCCTGTGTGTCCTGCATGCAGTTGGATTGGAGCATGGCTGCATATGCTCTTGTGCGTGCAGTCCCTGGCTGCCGCCTGCTCCAGAGGCAGCAGAATCGTCACAGTGGAGACTGTGACTCCAAGCTGGCCTTCCCTGCTGTAGGACAGGAGATCTGTGGGCCCCCTTTCAGGGTCCACAGAAGTTCTGTATGTGCATTCTTATGGGAGGAACCCATGGTTTTCAAAACTGACTCAACAAGGCTGAGAACCCTGTCCTTGCTATGAACCAGAAGTCTGGCCTTGATTGGTCACCACTTCCAGCCCCACTTCCTCCTCCTCCTTCCTGTGCCTCCAGATCAGCTGCACCCCATGTAAGTTTGCACATTTGCTTCCACATTTGTCTTCACAAAAGACTATACTCCTTCGCCTTTCCTGTGTGAGGAGGGTAGATCGCTCCTGGCTGGTGGTTGGGGAAATGAATCACTCAGGACCAGGGTGTGTGCCAAGCATGTGCGAGGCCCTGGGTCAGTCCCCACCACAGCATGCATGCAGAAATAGATAAGTAAGGTTCTGGTTACGTTTTAAATAAACTTCTGTAAGAGTGGCTTTATTAAACCAAAAGGGACCTGTAGGCATAGAACCTTAAATTGCTTCACCCAGGCTGTGAGGGAGAGGCTGGTAGGGGAGTGGCTCTGCATCCAGGGCCTCTCGAGATGCTTCCTCCAGGCCCCTGCCATCCCCTTTGCCTCTCACTCCCTCCTCTCTGGCTGTTGGGCATCGAGAGCCCTGCGTCCTGTGTGCAGCCGAGAACATAATCTCCACTCGAAGGAAAATAGCAGCCACTCAGGAATATTTTTAGGACCGTGGTGAGTAGCAGCCCTTGTAGCCCATATTGGTATCAGGCTTGCAGATCAACACGGGAAATAGGGCACCTCCTCCTCCAAGGTGTCCCATTGGACTGTTCTTTCTGGGGGGAAGGAAGGAGATGGCGTCTCTGACAGGATCGGCCATCCTGCAGACTTGAGGATTGGCCAGGAGGTGCTGTTGTTGCTTCCTCCGGTCGATTGCAAGGTCCAGGAAGGACATCTGTCCAGAACGTGCCCGCTGCACAGTGGGTCCTGCACCCACCTGACGGGTTGTGGGTGCTCTCCGAAGATGAGGATCATCCCCGAAGTTGTGGTGCCTATTGCTGGCCTGAGCCAGCAGGAAAGGGAGCAAGAGGGGAGAAGTGGGAGCCGGGAGCAGACAGTCCAGAAAGCCACGTGTTGTCTTTCCTGAACGAGGAGCACAGATGATACTGAATTTCCAGTACAGTGTTGGCCCACACTCGTTAATTTTTGAAGCAGTTGTTTGTTTTTACTTTCTAGATTAATTTTAGAGCTGCATAAGGAAACTGATTTGTTTTTCTAAAACTAATTGAAGCAGATACTTGTGGCATCGTTGGGAAATGAACCACCTTCTATTCCAAACATTCATCCTGTATTCCAGGGACATATTTGCCACCAAAAACAACAAATTTGAATTACTGAGACATGTTAACATACGCATAATGGCTTTTATAGAACAATGGTGCATGTGTTCAGTTTTTAACTGAAAGTTTTGAAGGATGACTAGCTTCACTCAGAGATGAGAGAAATTCACAAATGTCACTGATGCATATTATTTCTGCTCTTCTTTATCAGTAAACGAATGGTGATTTTTTTACTGGTGATTTCTTGTTCTCTTAATTGCTTAATGAATTCTACAAAAAAGAAATTGCTTTTAAAAACTGGATTATCATGACTCTGTTCTTCATGAACTCAAATACGTAATTGGTCATCATGCCAGAAGTAGGAAATTTGAAAAAATGCTGTTAACAAACTTAAAGAGGAGGAAGTAGGTGTGACCTCACCAGTGTGGTCATGTGGACTTGGCTGATAGGTGTTGCAGTCAAAGCCAACATAGTAGGAAGGTGAGTGAAATCTGATAGCACATCTTGCATCCCAAGGGCATTTCGTCTGGCTCAGGACAGCGTGGCTGCTTCCATGTGTGATTTCTTCTCAACAAGAGTAGGAACAGAGGCCTGGGCTCGCTCTTCTCTGTGGTGAGCAGGAACATAACTGGGATGCCAACAGCTCCCTCTAGAAAGAGCCCCCCTAGCTCCACAGGGCCATGCAGCATTTAGGCTCCGAAGTGAACCCCAGGAAGGCTAAGAAGTCCAGAGCCCAGTACCCCCAGCCACACTGTGCAGCAGGGCCACAAAGGGAATGTCCACTTGAAAGGAGGGACACGTGAGCCATGTAGGGAAAGGGTATGTGAGAGGGTTTGATCTAAAAGCTCTCCATTTGAAACCAGCAACGCAGGAGGCATCGTGTGTGTAGCAGGCCGCGCTAGGCCTCCTGCACAGGTTACCTCACATCCCGCACACCAGGGACACAGCTGCTCACACACAGAAAGGGCACAGGGGCTGAAGTCCCAGCCAGAGGGAAGTGGGCCTTTGAGGTGGGCAGTGCCCAGCCTTCTCTCCCTCTCATTCCAGAGTGGTTCATGGGCGCCCGCAGTGGAACGTGCGACCCTCAGTGGCAGATGGGCTCCTCCACTCTCTTGGAGGCTGCACTGCTCCTCAGATGTGGTGTGCTTGAGAATTCAGTGCTGTGTCCTAGCTAGGCACTCGCCTCTTGCAAAAGCCGCAAGAGTGAATCTGCTACTGTAAGAAGCGGGTTATCCTGAGCAACTTTGAAAACATCAAGCCATAACCATTTTAAAACTTAGAAATGTGCGATTATTTGCCGATCATTGGTGTCTAACCAGGCCCCTTTACAAAAGTGTCCTGGTGTTTGCCACTTGCTGGAGGAGCCAAGGCCTTGAGTGTGGACTGCTGGCGGGAGGGCTGTGTGTAAAGCATACTCACAATGCGTCATTTACTGCTTCCCGTTTGAGTTGCTTTAAGGTCCAGTGAGTGCTTAGCTGTTTGTATGTCTGTGTCCATAGTCCCAGGTTTTGGTTTGTATTCCCAACACCTGATTTGACAGCTTATTTAGCCTAGAGCCTTTCCAAAGAATTCAAAGTACTTTTGGGCCAGGGATGTTGCTCAGTGTCACGGAGCCTGCCTGATAAGCACAAGGTCCTGAGTTCGATCCTCAGTACTCAAAAAAAAAAAACTTCAAAATAGTTTTCATTAAAAGACAAGCTTCCTGCTGGGGATTTAGCTCAGTGGTGCTGCCACCTGCCTTGTAAGTACAGGGTCCCAAGTTTGATCCCCTGTACAAAAAAAAAAAGGATAAGCTTCCCCTGT